ACAACACACACACACACACACACACACACACACACACACACACACACACACACACACACACACACACACACACACACACACACACACACACACACACACACACACACACGTACGTTCGTCCTGGGCTGAGGCATCCGTGATGTTGGGCACGTCCATCATCGTCATCGTGGCTTAGATGTGAGATCAATCAAGCAACACTGCTGCTCCCGTCACAACACGTGGTTTTGTCGTTTGTCACCCGAAATGATGATGTGAGGTTGTGAAGATTTGTGAACATGACGACGGATTTTCTTTCACACTGGAAGGACGGCGATGTGGTGGTGTGCTGTTGTTGTTGTGCTTGTGCTGGTGGCTGGTGGCGGTGTGGTGGACGCACTGGACCTGCACTTGGTGGACAAGGGCATCGCAAACGAGTACAACGCACGATGGTGAGGTTTCAATACAGTGATGTGATGTGGTTATGAAAACACGCTTGCTCATGGGCGTGCTCGTGTGCGCGTGCTCGGTGTACGCGAAGTGCGATTGTGTGCGCGCCACTGTGTTGTCTTTGTTTATGTTTCGTGATGAAGACATCAGCTGTTCAGTTGATTCAGTTGACACCCCATTGCACTCTGCTCGCATCAAACCACGGAGAAGCTTGGACGGAAGCCTGCCCGCGTTTTACTTCTCGCCTGCTTCCAACAAAACCCACTCCAACGACTGGGTGCTCTACTTCCGCGGAGGTGAGTGGTGCGGTGTGAGTGCTGCACGATCCTCGACGCTGGTGTTTCAGCGGTGTCCGTAGTTTGAGCCAACTAACTGCCACGCTTGCTTGGTCATTGTCCTGCTGGACTCAGGTGGTTGGTGCTACACTGAAGCAGAGTGTGCACAGCGGGCAAAGACGCAGCTTGGTAGCAGCACTCAGCTTGGCAAGACGTTCAACTACAAGGGCGGATACCTTGCGCCAGTGCGTTCATATCATGGCGTTGCTTGGTTCACACTGAAACACACACACACACACACACACACTTGCTTTGCTTGCGCGTGTCTCCTTGCTCCACCACAGCGAAAACTACCACCTCGTTCATCTCACAATCCCTCTACCTTGACCAACCCCCAACACACACACACATACACATACACACACAAACACACAGGACTCGACCGTCAATCCAGTGTTCTCGGGGTTCAACCGCGTTCTGCTGTGGTACTGCGATGGTACGTTTGATGCCCTGTCATCTCCACCCTTCTCCACGCTCACCGCCTCGTGCGCCTGTTCTTCTGCACGTCGTTGCTCGTGTTCTCACCGCCAACCACCGCGTTGCCGTGGCTGCTGCTGCCAGGCGCCTCGTTCTCTGGCAACAGGGCGCAGCCTGTCGTGCATAACAACCAAACGCTGCACTACCGCGGGTTTGCGAATCTGCGAGCCATCCTCGCTACCCTGGCCAAGGATCACGGCTTCGGCAGCGCACGGCAGGTGCTGCTGTCTGGCGGCTCGGCAGGCGGGCTGGCCACGTTCCTCCATGCCGACACCGTGCGGGCGATGCTGCCACGGACTGCCACCGCGTTCAAGGCGTCCCCTGTGAGCGGATTTTTCCTTGAGCATGATGATGCCGGCGGCCAGCCGCTGTACCCGGACCGCATGCGCAACGTGTTTGCCATGCAGAACTGCTCTGCTGGCGTAGACCAGTCGTGCATCAAGGCAAACGCACATGACCCGAGCGCGTGCATGTTTGCGCAGCACACGTACCCGCACATGGAGTCGCCCATCTTCCTGCTGCAATCCCTGGTGGACGCGTGGCAGATGGGCAATGTGTTTCCCGCAAACGCCAGCTGGAAGGACTGCGCAAACACGGGCGAGTTTCAGCACTGCAGCACGCAAGAGATTGCACAGCTAAACGCGTTTGGGTTCACCATGCTGCACGCCCTCAACGGCACGCGCACGTTTTCCTCACCAGGCAACGGCGGCTTCTTCTACAGCTGCCGCACACACGTCGGTCAGTCAACCGTGCTGGAGGAGTGAGCTGAGAGGGTGGTGGTGTTGTTGTTGTTTGTTGTTGGTGGTTGCGGCTGCTGAGAGGGTGAATGAAGTGGTGGTCGTGAGTGGGTGACAATTGCACCACCAGGCACTTGTCGTGGTTCCAAACTATCGTCTCACGTGTCTTCTTGGTTGTGTCGACGTTTGACAGCGGCGCAAGGGAGCGCGTGGGAGAAGTTCACAGTTGAAGGCGTGGTGATGCGTGATGCCGCCAACGCGTGGTGGCTCGACAGCACAACTGCACCCGCTGCCAAGCACACACACCTCCAGCCCAAGCTCCTGCAGCCACACACCCCACACCAGGTAAGCAGGATCATGTGTGCGCGTGTATTTGGCCAACACGAGCAGCGCCCTTATCCCATCATGTCACTCACCCTCACATCCCACACTCTTCTCTCCCCCCCCCCCGCGGCTCAACACGACTCAGACCAACCCCACGTGCTCGTGAAATGCCATTCCGCCGCTGCGAGCAACTGCTTCATTCATGATGGCATCGTTACAATCACCACCGCCACCGCCACCGACACGAGAGTTACACACGCACAATGAACACAACAGACAAGACCAAGGGCAGCGGAGGCGGAGGAAGGGAGAGAGACAAAGCGAGGGAGAGGTGTTCCCACCCTGTCCCCTCCCAAAAACACACACACACACACACACACGAAAAACAACACGGAGAAACACACGACGCACGCACCGGTCGCACCCCTCACAAGCGCACATGATGGACGAGTCAATGGTGAAGCAGCAGAGAGGAAGAAAGAAGGAAGGAAAATGAGAGAAGGGGGAAGAAGAGAAGGAAGCCAATGAAACAGATCAAGGAGAGGTGTGTGGGGGACTAATGTAACGCACCGACGGTGACCAATCAACAGCACAGAAGAAAAAATGACACACACACACACACACACAACACACTTGTTGTTGCAGACACACGCACACGTACTCACACACCATGAGCAAGCACAAAGGACACATGTGAGCGACAGTAGCAGCAGCAACAACATACAGTAGCAGCAAGTGCACTGCTCAAGCGGAGACGCCAAACTTCTCCAGGCACCTGAGGCCCTGCTCCTCGTACTCCTGCTTGGAGATCCATGCATCCGGGTTGTCCTTGATGAGGTCTGCGAGCACAGAGCCGCCGAGGAAGACCATGTGCTTGCGGCGCGGCGGGTCCTCAATGCGGATCTTGAACTTGGACAGCGCCTCTGTGTTGCCCTTCAGCACGCGCTCCAGGTACAGCTGCTTCACCTCACGCTCAAGGCGGCTCGGCAGGCCAGGATACATCGTGCTGCCGCCAGACAGCACAATGTGCTTGTAAAACTCAGGGCGCGTGTCAATGTCCGCAGACTGTGCAGTCGTGTGTGTGTGTGTGTGTTGGGGGGAGGGGGGTCAGTGAGTGTTAATGTGAGATGGTACGTGGTGCAGTGATGTGGGACAAGAAGCAAGCAGGCAAAGTAAGCGACAGCGGCAGCAGCGCCCGTAATACCACCACCACCGCCACCACCACCAACAACAACAACAACGATGACCAGCCAGCAAACAGCATTGCAGCCCACCTGGATGCAGTCGAAGAGGAGTTCGGAGACGCCCATGCCCTCGACGTCGATGAGGTGCGGCTGGAAGAGTGCCTCCGGTGCGCTGAACCGCTCGCCGCCAACCTTGATCACGCGGCCGTCGGGCAGCGTGTAGTTCTCCACAAGCACCGTCGTCTCGTTGGCCAGCCGCTGCTCTGTCTCAATGTCGTATGCAACGTAGCACAGCTTCTCCTTGATTTCCCGCACCGTCTCAAAGTCGGCAGATGCGTTGAACACATACCCGCGACGCAGCATCAGCTGCAAGAGCAATCGTGCAACCACGAAGATGGACGTACACGTCAGGCAGGCGAAGAAGTAAAACGGAGCAAGCACAAGGACGGTTACCATACCAAACGAGTGTGTGTGCTGGAGCAAGAGTAACAGAGTGCTGGGACAAGGGCGACCGGATGGTATACGCGCACACACACACGCGCGCGCACCACACACCCACACACACCCGCACCTTGATCATGTATTTGGTGATGTCGCGGCCGGCAATGTTGAGGCGGCGGGTGAGATGGGGAAGCGCAAAGCCCTCGTACACGGGAACAATGTGTGTCACGCCATCGCCGCTGTCAATCACAACACCGGTTTGAAGACCTGGCAGCACAGGAACAAAAAAAAAAACAAAAAACAACAAAACAAAACAAAACAACAACAACACAGCATCAGGCGTGGAATATGAGCCAAGCGAACCAAGGCGCGCATGTGCGTGTGTGCATGCATGTTTGCGCCGGGTAGCGGCGTTGACAGAAGCTGCATCCGTGTATTTTCCTCGGCTTGTCTTTGCACCCCCACGACACATGCTGCAGACATGAAACACCACACCTTGTGCGTAGAGTGTGAGGACGGCCTGCACAGCAATGTGCACGCCCTGGAACTGGTACTTCTCGAACATGGTGGTGATCATCTTCTCGCGGTTCTTCTTCGGGTTCAGCGGCGGCTCTGTCAACAGAACCTGAGGCAGAAACCATTGTGGTGGAGGACCGGAGAAAGAAGTAACAGAGGAGATGGACGCAGCGTCATGGTCAGTCAGCGTGCGCAGATAAAACGAGAAGGGGCCCAAGGAAGAGGACAAGAAAAGAAGTGGGAAAGGAAGACGAGGACGGAGCAGAAGCGGAGGATCACGACAACAGCAAGGACAGCAGCAGCCAACAACAACAACAACAACAACAACAACAACAACAACAACAACAACAACAACAGCAGCAGCCAACAACAACAACAACAACAACAACAACAACAACAACACGCACCTTTGATTGTGTTGGGTCGATCTTCATCTTCTCGTAGAAGGTGTGGTCCCAGACGAGCTCCATGTCCTCCCAGTTGCGGACGATACCGTTGTCCATCGGGTAGCTCACCTCAAGCATGGAGCGGAGCTGTGACGCTTCCTCGCCAACCATAATGTCCTGCACGCAGCACAGATACATGAGAACAAGTGGCAACACCACCACCTGGGAGGAATGCATGGCAGCTCCTCTCACTCACAAACACACACACACACACACACACACACACACACACACACACACACATGCACGCAGATGTTCAGCAGAAGCTCAGGGGCAACACCCCTCCCCCTCTCTCAAAAGCAACGTCTTTGCACCAAGAGCGACATGTCACATTGGCGCACCTTGACTTCAATGTCACCGACACGGGTGGAGCTGCGCACGATGGGGCGACCCACGAGGGACGGGAACACGTGGGACGGGAAGTTGGAGCGTGCATAACCGCACTTGACAAAGCCAGTGCCGTTGTCGCACACAATGACGCTGTTGGGGTCAGTCATGGCAGCAGTCTCCCGGTTCTTCTGTGTTGAGCGTGTTTCAATAACCCCTGAGCACAACAACACACCAGCAGCAGCCAGCAGCAAGGTGTGATAGCGGAGCGAAAGGTACATGCAGACGGTGGCCAAGAGCAGGAATCGTTGGGTGAGCGCGAAACAGCGACAAGGCAGAGGAAGACAGCCTTTGGGATCGACCAAACACAAATACAAACAACAGCTGCTGATGTGACACTGCCCAGAGAGAACCAAGAGAAAGAGAGCGAGAGAGAGATATCTGGCACCAAAATAAGCTGCAGACACGACTGCAGTCCACAAAGCATGCAGTCCCCTTCTCTCACACTCACACACATCCCCTCGCTGCATTCAACAACCTGCACTGGCGCGTCGCTGTAAGTCTCGTCAGCGACGCTGTGCAGTTCCAGCTCACCTCAGCAAAGTCGTCGTCGCTTCTTGTCTGTCTTTGCCAGTGTTTGTGCGCTTCGCTGGCTTGTTTGGCTCAGCTTCCCGTTTTGCAACGCATCCACAACTTGGAGTACCTGGTGGATAGTTGCGATGGCATACGTTTCTCACAGACAACACAAGAAATAGGACGCATTAGTCGACTTGGTACGCAGTACCCCATGTTTAAATTGCAAAAAAATCTGTTGAGCTGGACACTTAAATGCCATTTTGTGCGACATCAAATTGCAGGCATTTGCAAATTGTAACAGAGCAGCTGAAGTCAGTTTCCGTGGATGAGCCTCTGGTTGGCTTTGGCGATGCGGCCGATCGTGTCTGAGTCAAACTTGTCCACCCGATCATACGTCATGAACCCATCGCACTCCAACTGTGTGTTTGTGTGTGTGTGTGTGTGTGTGTGTGTGTGTGTGTGTGTGTGTGTGCATGTGTGTGTGTGTGTTTGTGTGTGTGTGTGTTATGTGTGTGTGTGTGTCAGGTGAAGTGAGCACCATGGCAATGCATAAAGCCCACAAGTCCAACCTCAAGCAAAGCACACAATGCAAGCCTCTCCCTCTCTCACTCTGTTCCTCTGTCTCCCCGCCTCACCTCCACGTCGGTGATCTGAGTGTACACCGAGGCAGAAATGTCGCTGCGCCAGTTGTAGATCATCTGACATCACACACGACAAGATGCTCGCAGTGAGAGAAGACACTTGGGGATGGGACTGTGGCTGTGATGGGATGTGATGGCTTACAGCGCACTAGAAGGGTCAATGACCAAGTAAGTACACAAGCAAGCATGCCAGAGCCAACACACACACACACACACAAACAAGTACACAAGTGTACACACACAAGTACACAAGTACACAAGTACACACACGCACAGAAGTACACAAGTGTATACACACACACACACACACACACACACACACACGAACGGACGTTTGTCATGTTGATGTAGGTGTTTGCCTCCTCCAGTGGGGTATCCACGTGCAAATAGGTGTGACATTGGGCTGGCCACCACTCCTTGCCAGGGATGAACGCGCCAATACCCCCAAACTCGCCAATCATGGCTGCAAAAACAACAGGCGCGTCATGGTGTGGCGTGAGTGGCCCATGGCACTGTCACCCAAGGCGACAGCATACAAAGACACCCACATCGACACACAGACAGAAAGCAATGTCACGCTTACCGTACTGTGTATCACTCGGCTTGGGATCTTGTGGGTTGGGATCTGAAGTCATGCGAGAAAGGGTGAGGCGCAGTGTGTGAAATGGAAAGCACACGCAGAAGTACAAGCACACACATACACAAACACACCCACAAACACACACAAGCACAAACATGCTCACAGTCGTGGATGTCGTTGACGTCGCCAATGTGGAGGTTGTTGGCGGGGCCACCGGAGTCCGTGTCCACCAGGCGAGACGGGTCGAGCGCACGAATGAAGTCAACAGCCTTTATCGACAAGAGAAGCGATGCAGTGAGGTCAGGGAGGTGAAGGCAACAGAAGAGACAGAAACTCAGTGGTGGTGGTGGTGGTGGTGGTGGTGGCGGTGGTGGCGGTGTCGGTGGCGCTTCGGGCGGTCACCAGCAACAAACAACAAGCAACAAGCAACAGCCGCCCTCGCCTCGCGTCTGCGCAACCGACCTGCTGTGGGTTGAAGTGGGCAACCATGTCTCCTTCGTTGAAGGCCTCCCACTGCACGATGCACGGGTGGTTGAACCTGGACGGAACGCATGCCAAGCCGGGTGAAAAGGAGCAAGTGAGTGAAACACCCGTGTTCTCAATGAACGTATTCATTCGCACATAAAGCTCACACGTGTCAACCAATACGAAAGATCGTACACGAGCCCGCACGAGCCCACACAAAGCCCACAAACACACACTAGAGCATACATGCACAGCTGCACAAGTGCACAACTCAAATTCAAAGCCAGTACCTGCCGACGATCATGGCGCGCAAGTCCTGGAAGTAGAGATCGGGGTCAGGCTTGATGCCGTGCGCGTCACCATAGTGCTGCACCATATCCTATCACAAGAGGAAGGAAACGGTGTGTGTTGGTTTGGAGAAGAACTATCACACGAGGGCTATACACTTGCAAACAAACAAACAAACAAACAAACAAACAAACAAACAAACAAACAAACAAACAAACAAACAAACAAACAAACAAACAAACAAACAAACAACAAACACACACACACACACAAAACAAACACACACACACACACACACACAAAACAAACAAACAAACAACAAACACACACACACACAGCACCTGGAAGACGACGATGCCGAGCAGATCGGCGTAGTAGTACCAGCGCTCCGAGTTGACCTTCTGGTGCAGGCGCACCATATTCAGGCCATACCGCTTCACAGCGTACAGGTCCGACGCCAGTGCCTCGTCCGTGGGCGCTGAGGGAGAGGGGGGGGGGGATGGACGTATGCAGCAGAAATACACGAGGGCAAGTGGTGATGGCAATGAGAAGTGCACAGGGCGTCAAAACAGGTTCCATTTGCTGCAACATACACTCCCACGCACGCTTCTTCCCAGCCACCACGATGCACCATCGTAAATCACCCCACACTTCATGTACATCCCCTCCCCCTCCACACACTACCACCATCACCACTGTCACGACTCGCACCACCACTAGCACCACTGGCTGAGGCGCACCTGTGTATTGGCCGTCGGGCCAGTAGCTCTGGTCGAGCCAGCCCGCGAGGAAGGTGTAGTTGCCGTTGAGCAGCGGCCGCGTCACGCCGTGCTCGTCCTTGCCCAGGCTGTGCACACAGTGATGTGGGATACGGGTCGAGAGGGGGTAAGGAGGGCGTAAGGTGAGGGTGAGGAGTGTCAAGTGAGAGGAAAACAGCAAGGGTGAGGGGGCGACAGTGTGAGGGACGAGGGGCGAGGGAGCGAGACAGGAAGGTTACCAGCGTGTAAGGTACAAGGTCGCAAGCGTGAAACGTACAAGGTCGCAAGCGTGAAGGGCGCAAGGCCACAGCTCACCATCCAAAGCAAAGTGACAGACACATATATACCAGCGCACGCGATTGACAACCGAAACCGTGAAGCAAACTGACGTGAATGTGCGCATTCCAAAGTACGAGGTGACAGTGTCTGCGCCCATGGTGATGGTGATGTTGTACAGGAAAGGGGAGGCGGGGCTCCACAGCTTTGGGTTTGGAATTGTCACCCTGTGTGGTGCGCCCGATGTGCCATTGCCAGAGACGACCTGGGCGTGTGGGCGTGGGTGCGTGTGTGGGCGTGGGTGCGTGTGTGGTGGGTGCGTGGGCGTGGGTGCGTGTGCTCTCCACGTTGGTCACGAACACTGGAACACACACACATACACACACATACACACACATACACACACTAAATCACACTAAAACACACATAAACACACACACACACACACACATACACATGCTGGCCACCTTGGAAGAGCCGTCGTGGACGGTGTAGGAGAAGGGGCGGGAAGAACCGTCCGATGCGTTCACCGTCATGGTGAGGGTGGTGAGGTCTGCAAGCAGCGTGACATTGGCAATGTGCACCTGTGGCACAACCTCCAGCCACACCGTTTGCCAGATGCCTGACGATGGCGTGTATGTGTCGCCACCAGCAGCGGTGATGGCTGAGATGCGCTGCTTGCCAAACACCTGCTGCCCGTAATCCGACGGATCGTACACAGACACAAACAGCTCATTCTCAGCACTTGTCCGCAGGTACGAGGTGATGTCAAACGTGAACCCATCATATCCGCCCGTGTGCGTGCCGACTAGCTGTTTGTTCACAAACACTTGCGTCTGCCAGTCCACGGCACCAAAGTGCAGCAGCACGCGGTCGCTGGATGATGCCGGTGAAGGTCGAGCAAACACGCGGCGGTACCACAGGTGCATGTGTGTTTGCCACACGCCAGAGAGGCACGCCTCCACGGGGAACGGGACATTGACTGTGCTGTTCAGCTTCTTGCCAAAGGGCGGCTGTTGTTTCTGCAGACGCAAATGGAGGTGAATTGCAGTGGTTGCGGCAGTGGGCGTGCTGTTGGTGAGCGATTGTGTGTCCTGCTTGTCGTTGTTGCTGAGGCTTCAAGGTATCATACACAAACCACAAACGCTGCATGCACAACACGATCGTATGTACACACACACGCACACACGCACACATACACGCACACACGCACACATACACATACACACACGCGCGCGCACACACACACACACACACACGCACACACGCACACATACACATACACACACAGAGTGGCGTACCGGGTCTGCGGGCTGGAACTCCCACCAGCCGTTGAGGTTGGTCCAATTGGTGTCACGCACCTGTAATATGCATAGTACCACATGTGATAGTTCTTGGGTGAGTGGCGAGTCAATGCGATGATGGGTTGTTTGCTACGTTGCGAAGAGTATACAATGTACACACGTGTGTCACGTGAGCGCTTTGGTGCGGACACACCAAACCATGCTGTGGGGTCATACCATTTGCGGGCGAGGGTACTCTGGCAATGGGACGCTCGTGCTTGGGTTCACTGCGCAGGCGCGCGCGCGCACACACACACACACACACATCAATGTGAGCTGAGAAGGGGTGGAAATGGCCCACCTGCGCTCCTTTGAAGCGAGGCAGCCCAACACGCGCGTTGAAGGCCAGGGACAGAAAGCCAGAATACCAACGCCAGCACAAAGGATGGGCACGAGCAAACCATCAAGAGCACATGTTTATGGGCAACAGGGGGGGTGTTGCGCACAGATACGATCGACACCGCACCTTCTTTGGCCCACTTTGTGGTGAGTGGGCAATACGGGGGTTCGCCAGGCGCTTGCTTGACGATGCGCGAGTTCCTACAGGTGTTGGGCACCTTCACGCCGACCCGGTTCTTGAGCCAGCACGTGTTGGATCCCTTTGGCACGTCACAGCCGGATGTGCTGAACACATACGCGACACAGCCAGCTGTTGTGTTGCACTTTGTTTCACAGTCTAAGTGCGTGGTGCTGGTGGGCATGGTGCAACCATTTGACCCGCATGGCGCCATGTCGTTTCCAGGATAGTCCACACCTGTGTACACGTGTGTGTGTGTGTGTGTGTGTGTGTGTGTGTGTGTGTGTGTGTGTGTGTGTGTGTGTTAGTCATGTGCGTGCGTGCGTGCGTGTGTGTGTGTGTGTGTATGTGTGCGGTGGCGATCAGCAAGAACAAAACTGATCAAGTGTGACTTCATGTTGTTGTTGTTGTTGCACTTTCATCAAACACACACACACACACCACATCACGCAGACACGAAACCAACCTGTCTCGTATGTGGTGGGGCCTGGGCCCGGTTTGCTTGGATTTGCGTATGAGAAAGGTCCACACGTGCATGGGTCTTGATCGCCACCCGTTTGCACGGCGTCAGCCGTCCCTGCTGCTGCCACTGTCAACAACAACAGTGCGACCAGCAGCAGCACCACGCCCTCAGCCATGTTCGTTTGTTGTTTGGATTGCAAGTGCGGACCGTTTATGGAAAACATACATAAAATTCAGCAAAGAAGAAGGACAAGAGTGAGCGAAGCAGAAGACCACGATCTCGAACACGAACGCAGCATTGAGCTACAACAGAACATCATCATCGTCGCTGTCTGCGTCCCAGCTGGAGTCATCATCGTCATCCTCGTCATCATCATCATCATCATTGGTGTCTTTGCCCTCAATGGCGGGCCGCCTCTTGTCAAGGAAGACAGTGATGGTGCTCATGAGCGCGCTCTTCATGCTGCTTGGCTTCTTCTCCAGATCTGCATTGCGGTGTGGTGCGCATGGCGGGCGTTTTGTGGCGTTAGTGAGTGTGAACGAACTGATAAAGACCAAAAGGAAATAGAGAGGACGGGAGGACAGGCAAGGCGGAGCTGAGAAGCAGCAGCCACCGAGTGCAAGTTCAACGACATAAACACACACACACACACACACACACACACACACACACACGCATGAGTGTGTACCGCTTGGATCGACGCGCTTGAGTGAGACGGACTCGATGGCCTGCTGCAAGGACACGGCGCAGGACGAGTGCGCGCTGGTTTGGTGGGTGCCATTTCCAGGTGTGCTGCAGCCACTCCGCGCAGGCGTCGTGTCAGCAGCGCCAGCGAGTAGTGGACTGGGCGAGCTGGCGAGTGTCACCGCAGCAGCAGGGGGTGGTGGCGGCGGTGGCGGCGGCGGTGGCGGTGGAGAGCCAACAAATGAAGTTGTGGTGATGGCAGGTGGCGAGGACTCGGCTGAGGCACTGTTGGTGGTGTTGATGATTGTCACAGCTTCTGATTGACGTTGCTGCTGCTGCTGCTGTTGCTGCTGCTGCTGCTGCTGCTGCTGCGCTGGGTGGCCATCCGAGGTCGAATCACCGTGCTCTGGCTCCTGCAGCAGCAACGAAGGAGGCGGAGGCGGGAGCGCGTCAGCAGATGGCAAAGAGGATTGTTGTTGTTGCTGCTGTTGTTGTTGTTGTTGTTGTTGTTGTTGTTGTTGTTGTTGTTGTTGTTGTTGTTGTTGTTGTTGTTGTTGTTGTTGTTGTTGTTGTTGTTGTTGTTGTTGTTGTTGTTGTTGTTGTTGTGGTGCGTGCGTTTCGTCCAGCGTGGGTAGCCTACTCTGCGCCTTTGCGGTGGTTGTGGTCGCCCGCGTCTTGTTGCCGCCAGCGCTCTGCCTGTGCTTGCCTTTCGCCTTTGGTCTCGCCTTTGTGCTGCTGGCTTTCATCGTGTTGTTGGTCTTCTTCATGGTTGCCCTTGATGAAGCCGCTGCTGTGGTGGCAGGTGCTGCCACCCACTCCTCGGGCGGCGGCGGCAGGTTGGTGCCCGCTGCATGGGTGCACGTGTCGTCGTGCTCCGTCTCGCCATCGCCAACAGCACAGCAGCAGTCGTGGGCGGTCTGGTGCGTTGGATACCGCAGCACAGGTCGTTTCTCAGGCGCGTGCGCATATTGGTAGTCCAGCGACACCTCCTGCTTCTGCCGCAGCCGCGTCTGCGTGCGTGCGCGTGAGTGAGTGAGTGAGTGAGTGAGTGAGTGTGCGTGCGCGTGAGTGAGTGAGTGAGTGAGTGAGTGAGTGAGTGAGTGAGTGAGTGAGTGTGTGATGAGTGAGTGTGTGTGTGTGTGTGTGAGTGAGTGTGTGAGTGAGTGAGTGAGTGAGTGAGACTGCAAGCACACGTGCTTGTGTGCGTCAGAGTGCAGGTAAGGTTGTGCTGTTGTACATCAACAATTCAGCCGTTCATCAACCAACCTGTGCATGGCGCGCGTTGCTCCTGCGTGCCTCTGCTTGCTTCTGCCGCTCAGCCTCAGCAGCACGAGCCCACTCGCTCTCCTTTCGCGATGCCAGCGTGCGGTGCTCCTTGATGCGCGCACGCGTGCGTTTGCTGAAGGACGACATGCGTTTCTGCTGTTCTTCCTCAAACTTCTCCTGGTCTACCGGCGGCGGCAGCGCACTTGTGTCCAGCGCGTGCATCTGACAGATGATGAGTAAGAGGTCAAAACAGCGGCAGCAGAGATGGGCTGATGAGGTGGCAGCAGCGAAGGATATGATCACACGAAGGACACAGCAGTCGCATTAAAAATGCATATACACACATGAACACACACACACACACACGCACACACACGAACACACACACACACACGTACACACACACGCACATACACACACACGTACACACAGATACACACAGACACACACATGAACACACACCTTGATGCGCTGGATTGCGGCCTTGCGGGCTTCGGTTGGCGACACGGCTCTGTCCTTGTCATCGCCCGCAGCGCTTGCAGGAGACTGAGCGCGGCATTCCTTCTCGTCTTGCTGGTTGCGCTGCTTTCGATATGCGTTCACGCGCGCCTTTGCACCCGCCCGAACAGCATCTGTTGCGTCCATTGCGCGCGCTTCCATCTCCTGTCGCTGGCGCCGTTTGCGCTGTGCATGTTGTTTGTGTGTTATTGTGTGTATGCGCGTGAATATGGACGTGTGTTATAGTGTGTGTGTGTGTTTGTGAATGAGTGAGTAAGTGCATGAGTGAGTAAGTGCATGAGTGAGTAAGTGCATGAGTGTGAGTGTGTGTACAAGTTTGTATACGTGTATATGGCGAGTTGGTGTGTGTTGCCAGATTGAAAGCAAAGTCATGTCACCAGACTGAGTCGAGCACGGCACAGGTTGACAGTATGCAGACATCAAAACCAGCAACAAGAATACAGTTGGCCCTCTCGCATACCGCTGCTTGTGTGTGGCGCAGGTACGTGGCGACGAGTTTGTCGCACTCCTGCATGTGCTCCTCTGTGCGAATCTCTTCGTCACGGTACGTTGCGCGCCACTTGGACAGCCGCTTCTGCCACTTGGTGTGTGACGCACCAGCCTAGCGTGGACGGGAGAGGGGAGCGAGTGAGATGAAATTGGGCGCAACAACAATGGTAATGCATCCTGAACAACGTTGATGATCACCTTCTTGCGGTCGGCGCGCGGGCGTGAGTAGTCGCGGCGCTGCTCATCGAAGCGCGCAAGCTGCTCTTTGCACAGCGTCTGGTTCAAGGTAGAAGACAGCGGAAGAAGAAATGGGGTTGGCAGAGGGTGAGCGAGTGAGTGAGTGTGTGTGTGAGTGCGTGAGTGCGTGAGTGAGTGAGTGAGTGAGTGAGTGAGTGAGTGAGTGAGTGAGTGAGTGAGGGAGGAAGTGTGCTCATCCAGAACATCCAGCAACAGAGTTCTGCACACACATGCACACACACACACACACACACACACACACACACACACACACACACACCTCTTGGTGCTGGAGGAGGGCGAGGCGCTGATGTGCGCGCTCCGTGCGCGTCTCGCTGATACTGCGTCGCGTTGCCTCCACAATTGGCAGCGCATCCACATCGCGCTGCGCACACATGTCCCGCAGCTGCGCCGAGCGCGCCTCCATCTCCAAGTCCATGCCACAGATGCCCCACTGGATGGCCTTGATTGCTGCCTGCAGGCATTTGAAGCGAACGCTGGTTGCCTTTGCCAGCGACTCATCCACACGCTGACGCGTGCGCTTGCGGCGCTGGGAATCGATATCGCCCCAGCTCTCCATGTGCTGCAGCGCCGACACGACGTGGTCCTCTGCTTGCTCTGATATGCAATCGCGACACCAACAATGAATCACGCACATGGATGAGTCACACATACACATGTTCTGAGCAAGCATGGAGCGTAGCACGGTATAGCATGGCAAGCCGGGGAGGGGGCTGGGAACGACGAAGCACCCCCAGTCTGTTGTGATTTGTGTCTCAGGGGAGTGGTGAAGGAAAGGCGGTGGTCTGCATCTCACCTGACAGCTCCTCCGTGGTGGTTTTGTCTTCGCGCAGTAGTTTTGTCTTGAGCATGATAAACTCCCGATACCGGTCCAGCACCTGAGAAATGTGATGTGGGGTGTGTGAGAAAGGCGGTGATGGTGTGGTTGATGCAAGACCACAGCAGTTTCTCAAACGTTTGTCTTCCCAACACAAGGCACACACACACACACACACACACACACACACACACACACACACACACACACACACACACACACACACACTGCACGCACGTGCTGGGGCGATGCTGCGGGGAGCACGGCGCGGCGAGCCAGGATAGCGTCGGTATCGAGTGTGCTGTTGTCCGCATCTGATGATGATGATGATGATGCCTGCAGGTCACGAGCAAGCACCTCTGCGAGCGTGTGCAGGCGTTGCTGGTTGCTGCGCTGCTGCGTCTCATGGAAGGACAAGCGCGCATGGAGATATCGACCAACACACTCGAGCTCATGCATGGCAGCGGCCACAGCGGCGCGCGGGGGTGCTGTGGTCGCCTCTCGCTCCTCAGCAGCGCTCTCAAGCGCACTCAACGCCTACCAATGGGCGAAGGGATAACCAGTGGTGAGGGAGAGTGTGCATTTCATGCGGATGACAGGGATATACAATCGTGACAAAAGGGCGGACAGCCAACTGCTTTGATATCCGCAAGGGCACGTCTGCAATCGTAGACACACGCACACACACACACACACACACACACACACATGAACACGTGCGCACTGGCTGCTTACGTCATCCAGCGTCGATTGCATGGCGACACATTCGAGCTGTGACTGTGACAGAAACAGCGTTGCGGTCGCTACAGAAACAGGCAAGAGCATGGCGAACAGTGGTGAGCGGTGTGGTGAGCTTATGTTGGATAACATCAGTTTGATTGCAGGAGCAGTGGAGAGGAAAGGCAAAGTGCAAGCGAGACAAAGCAGACACACACACACACACACACTCACACACACACACGCTCACACACACACACACACACACACACACACACACACACACACACACACACCCGTGTGCTGTCCGAAGATGGTGTAGAAGGTGACGTTGATCGGGAGGGCGTCAAGCATGCGCTGCAGCCACTGCGTGTATGTCGCGTTTCTCTCCAGCATCGCGGCGTTGGTGCAGAAGTGGAGGGCAAAGAAGCTTGTTGACGGCAGCTTTGGCAGGCCAGATGTCAGGTCGCGGTCGCCGCTGTACAGCGACAGCTCCTCCAACGCCGTGTGGAACTGTGTAAAGGTGTGTATGCACGTACGTATGTGTTACCGCGTGGAGTATGTGCGTGTGCGTATGTGCGTGGGCAAAAATGCAAAGCTGCAACATTGCAATAGTGCGAGGTGACGGTTACGCCCACGGTTTACCTTGATGACGGGCATGGTGGTGGCGCGTGGTTCCGTGCCTTGGGCCTGGTCCTGCGGCGTGCAGCGGATGGAGACATGGTCCATGGAGGACACGCAGTGCTGCACATCACAGGTCCACGTGCGTTTACCCTGGCCATCATCCTTGTCAGAGCCCATCAGCTCGGCAAACTACATGCAGAACGACAGATGCGAGAGAAAGCATAGCAGAGGAGATCACACGTGCTCATCAGCAACACCACGTGGGCATGTGGGCATGTGGGCGTGTGTAAGGACACCAACAACGAGCGACAAACACCGGCAACACACACACACACATAACAACACGACAGCGCAGGAGCAGAGTAAAACGCACAGATGCGACTGCTTCCCAGCCATCGTCATCGCCCAGGGCCTCGTTTGGCGCCAGTTGCAGTGGTGTCCGGGGTGGCTCCTCCTCGCCTTCGAAAAAGGACTTGTGCATGTCAACCGTGTTTCCGTTGCCTGCATCGTCAGCGCCTGCAACCGCCTGCTGGGCTTGCTGAATCCCCTGTGGCGCAAGGGTGTGTGTGTGTGTGTGAATGCGAGTATGGAAGAGAGAGAGAGAGAGAGAGAGAGAGAGAGAGAGAGAGAGAGAGAGAGAGAGAGAGAGTGTGTGTGTGTGTGTGTGTGTGTGTGTGTGTGTGTGTGTGTGTGTGAGCGAATTTGAATGTGTGTGAGTTGGTCACTGAGTGTGATGACAGAGTGAGTGCGGTTGACATCGGATGGCACAAAGCGTGCGACAAAACTGCATTTGACCCTCACCTGAAGGTGGGCGATCCAGGCTTGTGCGTCCTCTTTGTTGTCCGCCTTGAAGTACAGCTTCTGCGCCGGTGTCATGATACAGAACGTGCACGGTTGGCCGGGCAGCTTCCGCACTGCAAACTACTCACAAGAGAGAGAAAGAGAGAGAGAGAGAGAGAGAGAGAGAGAGAGAGAGAGAGAGAGAGAGAGAGAGAGAGAGAGAGAGAGAGAGAGAGAGAGAGAGAGAGAATGTGTGTGCGTGTGTGTGTGTGTGCGTTGTGCGTGGACAGAAGCATGTGAGTGAGTGAGGCGATTGACATTGCTGAACGATTGACATTGTCCTTGATGTATCTCTTTGACTAGACACACGTATACACATACACACGTATGCACACACACATATCACACCCCTACATACGTTGTGGAGGACGAGCTGCTTACGAAAGTTGCCCTTGTCAAACTGCTTGTCACTGGTGGCATACTTGAGGACGTGGCACACGCCACCTGCAGGCTCGCCAGCGCTGTCCTCTTCCTCGTGCACGATGCCAACCACACGCGGCCTCCACCGATCCCAGTAGTTGACCCACTTCAACAAGCTGGCGCGCATCGAAATTCGGCCCGCAACAGCACCAGCATCCATCTCCGTGCTCATGCTGGTGCGTGTGTGTGCCTGTGTCTGTGTTTGTTGGTTGTCTGTGGTCGTATGACTTGCGCGGTTGTCGTCTGCTTGTGTCGTCAGTCAATTGCCGTCTGTTTGTGTTGTCTGCTTGTGTTGGGCTTCGTTTATGTCAGGACAAATGCATCACCATCACCAGCATCCCTTCACACACACCATCACTTCCACTCCAACCCACAAGCAACCAGTGCCAGTTGTGCACAGTCATCTTCGTCCAACACCCACAATGATGAGTCATCAATAACCAAAACGCCGATGACTCATCACATTCACATCTTTGCCACGAGCAGCGCTGAGCCGTGGATAGTGCTGGGTGACGTGGACATGGACGTGAAGGTGGAGGTGGAGGAGGTGATGTCAAGCCATCCGCCACGCGACACCACAAACGACCCGCTGCTGTCGTCATCGGCATCATCATCATCAGCATCGTCGTCGGCATTGGTAGCATGGCCTGCGAGTACGTTGGTGAGCACGGCGCCTTCGTCCAGCCCGCACTTCCACACGGGCAACACGATCGCGGCTGCTCGCTGGCCTTCCTCAGCCGTGCTCGCAGTTGTTGCGATGGTACCACCGGACCGCACAGCGACGCAGATGACCACAGTGCCCGCGAGCCACCGAGCAAACGCAAACACGTCGCCGTGCGCATACAGCGGCACATATGCGCCGTACTGCAGCGCGGGCGTGGCCTTGCGGACAGCAACAAGCCGCTGGTAGTGCGCAAACAGGTCCTGGCGCCATTCCTGCCGGTTCCAGGGGAAGCAGCGGCGGCAGTCCGGGTCCTTGCCACCCTCCACGCCAACCTCATCGCCATAATAAATGCAGGGCGTGCCAGGGTACGCAAACAGCACTGTGGCGGCGGCCTTGAGCTTGGCAACGTCGCCCCCAAGCAGCGTCAGCATGCGCGGCGTGTCGTGGCTGTCGAGTTGGTTGAACAGGGCCAGCTGGTTTTCCCACGGTATCTTGGCGCGCGACTCGCACAGCCACGATGAGAGCTCGCTGGCGTCCAGGTGGATGGGGTCGCCAATCAGGTCGGTGCCGGCGAAGAACGCGCGCATGGGATGCAGGAACGTGTAGTACGCCATGCACCCGTCCTCCTGGTCACCTTGCAGCCACTGCCAATGATGGTGGGAGGGGGAAGAAAATGAAGGGGATGAGGGAGACGAGGGAAAGGTGAACATGGAAGACGAGAGCGCACGTGGAAGATAAGCAGCAGCAAAGAACAAACAACTGGCACATACTTCACGCGCAAATATCCAGCCACACACGCGCGTACGCACTTGTGCATCAGCACATGTATATGCACAACACAACAACACAACACAACAACACAACACACACACACACACACACACACACACACACACACACACACACACACACACACACGTACCTGGGTTGCCTCGTAGAAGTGTTCGCCGAGGACGTAGGCCTGCGGGTTGGTTTCCTTGGTGGCCTGGCGGAACTGACGCACGTAAAAGGCGTTGTTGGTGGCGTTGGCACCTTCGCCCAGCATGTGGATGACATCGAAGCGCCAGCCGTCAATGGCATATGGCGGCCGCAGCCAGTGCCGAATTACAGCCCGCTCCTCCGCATACAGGTACGCGCGCACTTGCGGGTTGGCCAGGTTCAGCTTGGGCAGGCTGTCGTACCCGAGCCAGGCCACGTAATCATCGCCCTTGCCCATGTCAGCACCGCCTTCTACCACCACCTCTTCCGCTTCCAGCACCTCATCTGCTTCAGTGTCCACAACGGCCCGCGCTTCGCCTGATGTCCCCTCTTCTTGCTCTCCTCCTCCTTCACTGCTCGTGTCGTCATGACGGCGCGTGCGGCGGTGGCGGCGGTGCAGGAAGAAGTAAAAGTCGCGGAAGGGAGACGTTGGGTTCTGGAATGCACCCGTCGACCGCGCCAGCGTACCACCATCGCCATCACGACCGCCATCACCATCAGCATCATCAGCATCAGCATCAGGGTCGCCACGGCCGCTGTTTGTACCACCACCATCACCACCACCATCATGAGTGTGTGCAGTGTCAACAGCAGCGTCGTGGCTGCCAGCCGTGACCTTGCTGTGCGAGTGTGGTGGTCGTGGCGACGTGGCAACAGGTGCGCGGGTGGCGGTGGTGACGGCGCCGGATGGCACGTGTTTGATGGCATCGCCATACTTGTCGAACCAGTGGTGGTGCACGCTCGTGTGGTTGAGCACCGCGTCCAGAATGATGCGCATGCCACGCGCGTGCACGTCTTTGCAGAGGTGCTGCAGTGCCCCGTTGCCGCCCAGGTGCGGGTCTACGTTCATGTAGTCGACGGTGTCGTACTTGTGGTTGGAGAGAGACGTGAAGACCGGGTTGAGGTACAGCGCAGTGACGCCCAGCTCGTCGCAGAGGTACGAGAGCCTGTTGCGGACACCAATGAGATCACCGCCGTAAAACTCGCTGCAGCGCGCCTCGTCCGTGTCTGTCACGGGCTGCCCCCACTCCCGCGCGTGCACGGGGTGGCCCAGATACAGGTACTCGCCCTCCTTCACGCTGATGCTCGGGTCGCCATTGCAGAACCGGTCGGGGAAGATCTGCACAGATGTGTGTGCGTGTGTGTGTGTGTGTGGGTTGGGGGGGGGGGGTTGAATGCATGCATGCACTGGGAGGTGTGGGGAATGGGCGTAGGGCCGCCCACAAGGGCCGCCCACACACACACGCACACACACACACAAACACACACACACACACACACATACACCATATACACACACACACACAAACACACACACATATACACACACACACACAACAACACACACATACACACACACACACACAACAACACACACAACACACACACAACACACACAAACCGACGAAATAAACAGCTCTCAATGCGAGTCCTTTACATAGTTGTAAGCAGGGGACTGTATCCGCGACCAAATTCAGTTTGTCATCCGGCGCTTCAAAACAAGGAGAGAACCTTGAGTTCGTTACCACTATACACACACACACACAAACACACACACATATACACACACACACACACAAACACACACATACACACACACACACACACAAACACACACAAACACACACACAAACACACACACAAACACACATACATATATACCTGGTAGAAGACTTGGCTGGCGACCCAAGACGGTGGCTTGCAGGACTGGTTGTAGCGAAAGTGGTACTCCTTGCCAGGAAGACGCGGCACGAGCTCGCCACGCGCATCCAGCCACCACTGGCGGCGCCCCTGAATGAACTTGAACACGTAGTGCGTCTGGTCGCGGTCCTCGTTGAGCGGGATGCACGCACACCAGAAGCACAAGCGCGAAGAGCGGACGCGTGGCGGTGTCAGCTCCAGCACGCCCTCATCACCACCACCACCATCGTCGTCGTCGTTGCCGTTGGCGGCGGTGGCGGTGGCTGTGTGTGATTGAGTGTTGCTGTCAGGCTGTGGGTCAGCCTCGGGTTGGTCGCTCAGCTTGAAAGAGTGGCGCTCGAGTGAAGACAGCTTCGCCATGGAAACGAGGTGCTCCTCGTTGTCTGGGTCGCAGCGGACCGCGACGCGATCAAACGCAAAGCCTTGCGACTCACCACCATCACCACCAACGTCATCTTCATCCAGCGGCGCCGTTGCCAGCCACACAAGAAGCTGCGGCTTGTGCTTGCCAACAGGGCTCGCCCATTCGCTCGTCTGCCCATGGAACGCAAAGAACATCTTCGACGCGGGCAGTATTGTGTTGTGACGCTGTGGTGTGTGGTGCTGGCGGTATGATAGGTGTGGTGTGTGATCTTGTGGTTGAGGCTGTTGTGGTGGTTGAGGAAGAAGAAGCAATGAAGCAGTGATCAATGATCATGTGTCGCACACAAGTTCAGAGAGTTTTCCCCAATAAAAAGCGAGCAAAAACAAACAAAGGCAACGCCGGAAGGACTCACTCTACTGCACTTTGTGGTGTTGCGTGAAGATGAGCGGAACGGAGCAAGCAAACGTCGATGCGCTCTTCGCCCAGTTTGGGCTCTCGGTGCGTGGTCGTCGTCGTCGTGGCTTGAGCTGCGTCATGCGCAGACTACAAACAACCTCACGTGCATGTCAACCATCTCACACACATGCACACACACACATGCACACACACATGCGCGAAACAAACAAACAACAAACAGGCGGAGCTGGCGCGGATCAAAAAGCAACTGCAACAGGATGGCCGGATGAAGAGGCCGTCACCGACGGGTTCCAAGGCGCCATCCCCGCCTGTCTCACACCAGGACACCACCTTCGAGGCCGTCCTGCAAGACCTCCCAGGTGTGTGTGTATGTGTGCGTGCGTGTGTGTGTGAGTGAGATTGTGTGAGAGTGAGAGAGAGATTGTGTGACGAGCATGTTGGCTCCCGCACTTCCACCCGCGTGTCAGAGTCCCTGTTTGTGTCTTTTTCTGCTCACACAAGCGTATTTACTTGACTTCCTGCCGCGTTGGTGTTTGGCAGGCAACAACAGGCCGGATCTCAGCGACAACTGCACGTGAGCGCCAAAACCCGCTGCGTTGCTCCCTCTGTGTCTATCGCATGCGCTCCAATGCCCCTCATCATACATGCGTTCGTGTCTGCTTCGTACGTTCGTGTCTGTCGCTTTTTGGGTGTGTGTGTGTGTGTGTGTCTAGGTTGCACAGCGTCTTGAGCAATCCAGGGGTTCGAAGAGACATGACCAGCATCTCCAGCAGCCAGTTCCGCAAATCCTTTCGCTTCCTGGAGCCGGTCGGTTTGTGTTGGAAGGAGGAGGGGGTAGGGTATTGTGTGGGTTGCTTTACTGCCTATCCTTTCATCTCTGTCTTCTTTTTTGCTCTTCTCACTACATGTACATGCGCACTCACTCACTCGCTCGCTCACTTACACTCACACTCACACGCACACGCACGAAATATTGCTCGCAACTCTGTGTGCAGGCTCAAGATGCATACGGCATCACAGAGGGGCCGAGCGAGGTCGAACACACACGACGCACGCCGTCGTCACAGCCGCAATCACAGTCACAATCGCGCGCGAGGGAAAGTGCGGAGGTGAAAACAGAGGAGCAGGAAGAGCCGCCAGTTGTGGGACGCCCCGTCCTCACAGAAACAGGTGTGTGTGTGTGTGTGTGTGTGTGTGTGTGTGTGTGTGTGTGTGTGTGTGCGTGCGTGCGTGCGTCAGCTTGTGCTTTGGACCGCGAAAGGAGAAGAGTGAGGCACAATTGGTTTTCATATGCACTTGGTTGAGCATCATCAAGTGTACTCACGCGCTTGTACGTGGTCGCGGCTGCAGACACAACACCGCGGCCCATGGCAAAGCTGCGGATATCGCTCAAGGGAACAACAGCGGTGCGTTGGCTAAGGGATGGAGAGAAGGTGGTGGTATTGTGGTATTTGTGGGGGGGGGGGTGGTGGCGGTGAGGAGAGAGGGGGAGATGTCGAAAGGTTGGCTGGGGTCGGCTCTTGCTTGTCATGGTTGGTTGGTTGGTCAACTTGATCTCACATGGATGTCTGTGCAACCGCTGTCTTACACACACACACACACACACACACACACACACACACACACACACACACACACACACACACACACACACACACACACACACACGGACACACTCACACACACACGCACACACACACACACACACACACACACACACACAAACGCGTACAAACAAACACACAAACGCGTACAAACAAACACACACACGCACACACACACACACACACACACACACGCACACACACACACACGCGCGCGCGCATTTGTTAGAGTGTGTCGGGTGGTGGCGGCGAGAGGAAGCGAGCAAAGCGTGGTGGTGGCGGTGCAGGGTGAAAGGCAATACATAATAAACGACGGCAATTTGATGTCATATCGTACTACGCTTGGCAAGACCGATGATGGTCGTGTCCCGACCACAACACACCACATGCCCTTGTCATCCCTACTTCCCCCCCCCCCTTTAATGTTCCTCGTTGCCTTGTCTTTCGTTTCTCTCTTCGTCATCATGCCAATCCGCCTCTTCCTGCACGCACCCGCCCTCCCACCGTTGACCGAATCCTTTGTACCGCCTTCTGTTATCTTTGGTCAAATCACCTCCTTGTCATGTGTGCTCCATCTTCCCACCCTCCCACCAAACCCAAAGCTTGGCATGCAACCAAGCACACTGTTGCACGTTTTACTTCTGTACGTGATCTGAGGCTTCGCTACAAGGGCAACAAACAAATGGAAACACTCGTTCAGCCAATCCAACCAACACAAGAGCACTCAGCCAACCCACATCCAGTACCATAGCCCCCCCCCCCTCCGAAACACACACACACACACACACACACGCACCATCAGTGCATCTTCTTCATAAATGCGTCCACGTTGTAGTCGCTGTAATCCACGTCCTCGTCCAGCTTCTCCGCCTCTTCCAAGATGGCGCGCAGCCCAGACGACGACGATCCACCACCACTGGCAGCAGCAGTGCCGTCCTCGCCTTCCGCGCCGCCCTCGCCCTCCTGCGGTTTCTCCGAGAGCGTGAAGAGGTCCAGCACCTGGTCTGTGCCCATGGACGCGAGCGAGCTGTTGTCCTTGCTGACAATGGTGTTGGCCATGTTCAGCTTGAACCGCTGCAGGTTCATGATCTTCTCCTCCAGCGTGTTGCGCGTGATGAGCCGGTACACGTTCACCGTGCGCCCCTGCCCAATGCGGTGTGCGCGGTCCATGGCCTGCAGGTCCTTCATTGGGTTCCAGTCGTGCTCCAGGAAGATCACCGTGTCGGCGCCCGTGAGATTGAGGCCCAGCCCGCCCACCGAGGTCGTCAGCAGCAGCACGTCCACCGTCGGGTCGTCGTTGAACTCCGCCACCACCTCCGCCCGCATGTGCGTGGGCGTGTCGCCGTCCAGCCGTCGGTACGTCAGTGCTGGCATGTGCCGGTCAAACAGGTCTCGCGCCACCAGCGACAGCAGCTGCTTGTGCGTGGCAAAGATGAGCGCGCGGTGGCTGCTGGCCGCCGCAGCCGTCGCATCGGCACTCACGCCAATGGAACAGTCGCTCAGCAGCTGGTGCAGCGCTGCCAGCTTGGTGGCGTGGTGCACGTCATGCAGGTTGATGCCGTGCTGCGCAATGTGCGCCCGCACCTTTGCGTCCACGTCGTCTGCCTTGACCATGAGCGGGTGGCTGCACACGCGCTTGAGGAAGTTGAGGGCCTGGAAGATGTGCTTCCCGCCCTTGCGGTCGCCGCTGTCGTGGCCGGCGCGCACCACATCCTTTGCCGCCTGCGCCTGCGACGTCTGCCCAAACGACTCGTACATGCGCCGCTGCACGCCGCTCAGGTCGCACAGGTAGTCCTGGATGATCTTGGGTGGCAGGTCGTCCAGCACGTCCTCCTTCACGCGGCGCAGCAAGAACGGCAGCACCTGCCGATGCAGGGCCTCCAGCGCCAGCGCGCCCCGCTCCTGGTCAGACTTGGAAGCCTTGGCATCGCGGGCAGCCAGGATGGGCTTGGAGTACTGTGCCTTGAACTGCTGCGCCGTGCCCAGGAACCCGGGCATGAGAAAGTCAAACAGCGACCACAGCTCGAGCGCGTTGTTCTGGATGGGCGTGCCGCTGAGGATGAGCCGGTGGTTGGACTGAATCGCCTTGGCCGCCTGCGCAATCTTCGACTTGGCGTTGCGGATGAT